CTTGGGCTGATAACATTTTCTGCAGTTTAACAGTGTCAAAGAGTTACCTGGTCCACTAAAAGACACTTGCCTAGGGTTGCCCACCCAACCAGTGTCAAAGGTGAGACTTGAACCCAAGTCTTCTCCCTGACTTTGTGGCAAGCTATCTACCTCAGGCTAGCTGCCTTCACCTCCTATGAGTTAGTATTTAATCTGTGCTTGTTGAAGGCCATGGAATGAACTTGAATTGAGTATATTCAGGCAAAGCTCGTCTCAGATCTGACTTGCACCACTTGACATTGTCTCTTAGCTTGAATTTTAGCTGTTTCATGAAAGAGAGTGAGTATGCTTTCACAGAGGCAGATGAACCCAACCATTGTTCGTGGCTTGGCCAAATGGCCATATATATTTCAGGTGGGGTCTTTCTGTAAGATTACTTTCTATTGACTCTGGATATATCTTGCATATCCATCATTTAAATTTAAATTTTTAATTTTAACAAGCATTTATTAAGCACCCACTATGGGCCAAGTACTGTGCTAAGCATTTTACAAGTATTATCTCAACTTTATCCTCACCCTGGGAGGTGGGGGCTATTACTAGCTTCATTTATAGATGAAGAAGCTGAGTTGAGTATTAATCTCGTTTAATCTTCACAACAACCCTTGGAGGGAGGTGCTATTTTTATTATCCTAATTTTACAGAGGAGGAAACTGAGGCAAACAGTTTAATGACCTGTCCGGCAAGATTTGAACTCCAGTCTTCCTTAATTCTGGGTTGAGGGCTCTATCCACTGCATTACCTAGCTGCCTCTAATTGCTTGAATATTGCCACACACACACACACCTTTAGAATGTGAACTCCTTGAAGGCAGCAATTGTGTTTTTCCCTTTCTTTATAGCCTCAGCATTGAACTCAGTGACTGGCCTCCAGTAAGCATATAAGTGCTTGTTAACTGACTGACTTGTCCCTGACTAATTAGGAAAAATGCTTTCTTTTCCTAAACATCTTAGCGGGGCCACACTTTTTTCCCTCCACTAAAAAAGAAAAGAAATGTCAGTTGAATGAATTTGGTCACAAGTTGGATGCCTGAGTCCTGTGGACTACACTTTGCTCACAGTCACAGAACCCAAGCTTCTGGGATCTCACATGTCTGCCCCTCCAGTTCAGGGACCAAGTAATGAAACACCAAATTGTGAATTCCACCCTTACATCTGATGCAATGTCACCTTGTGAATCATTCATTGTCCCTGGCCTTAAGCTGCCTTGGGGGACAGGGAAATCTTTTTATTTTATGAGGAGGGAAACAGATCTGAGAGGAGTGACCGAGCCTAAGATCCAGGCATCTAGCTTCTCTCCTCCTTAGAAAGGAAACCCCAGGCATCTGGTGCCTGGTAGTAGGAGAGGGGAATCAAAGACCCATTGTATGGGGCAGCAATGTCTCAATGCAATCTTGGAGGTGGGAGAGTTGGGAGCTCAAATTGCCTCATTCCTGCTCTGATGCTAAGACTGACCCTATTTTAACCTATTCAGCTTCCTCTTTCAGAGATGTTCTTTGCTTTACTCTCCCCATCCTCATCTCTCTACTTCCCTCACCCCTCAAAAAAGAGAAGTGGATCATCCATGGATCTTTGGTGTCTAGCTTCCCTTGATACAGGAGTGAAGTTGTGATCTCAAGGGTGGGGGAATTTTGCAGGAGAGAGAATAAGGGAGAATGCAAAGCCCTCTCCAGCTACCAGAGTCTTTGATCTGCTTAGCTAACCACCTAGATTAGCATGCTTGGATAGAGGAGAATAATGGAAGGAACAGTAGGATAGGAAGTTAGGACACCTGGGTTCCATCCAGCCTCTGTCACCAGTGCGAAGAGTCAGTTTTCTTGTCCAAAAAGTTAAAGGTTTGGCTCAGATGAACAGGAGTTTCAGGGAACAGCTGAAATATAAAGATAATAGAGCAGTAAGGAAATGGGAGAAGAATATGTAATGATTGAGCCTGGAAAAGCAAACGTTGTATGGGGTGTGATTTGTTGTACAGAGGTCAATTATCGTACTAGTATTGTAGCATATTGTACAGGGGTTAGTTATAATTATCTCCACATAGGGAAGATAGGAGAAAAAAAGGAAAGAGTCAGAGGGCAGAGTCAAAGGAGCTGGGGTCAGATCCAAACTCTGCTACTTAATGCACCTATGACCTTGGATAAATCAGTCTCTGGGCCTCACTTTCCTCGTCTGTAAATAAAGTAAATTGATTGAACCTCTAAGGTAGCTCTAAAATGACAGGAGGAAGTGAAGTGATTAGGAATAAGGAAAAACATTTTTTAATTAAATATTTTTCAATTATTAAGCATTTATTTTTTCTCACTCTCTCCTGAAAGAAAAAGGAGAAAGGGGGAGAGAGAGAAGGAAAGAAGGAAGAAAGAAAGAAAGAAAGAAACAAAGAAACAAACAAACAAACAAACAAACAAACAAACAAACTCAGGCAACAAATAAACATAGTTAAACAAAACAAATTCCCATATTGCCCATGTCCAAAAAAAGTACCCTGCTCTGCATCTGAAGTCCATCCCCTCTTTGTCAAGAAGAGCTGGGTAGGGCCAGCTTGGTGGCACAGTGGATAGAGCACTGGCCCTGGAGTTAGGAGGACCTGAGTTCAAATCTGACCTTAGATACTTGATACTTACTAGCTGTGTGACCCTGGGTGAGTCACTTAACTCCATTGCCTAGCAAAAAAAGAACAAAAAAAAAAAAAAAGAAGAAGAGCTGGGTAGCATACTTTATCACTGGTCTTCTGGAATCATGGTTGCTCATTGAATTGATCCCCATTCTTAAGTCTTTCAAAACTGTTCATTTTTACTTTTTGTTGTTGTTGTTGCAAGGCAATTGGGGTTAAGTGACTTGCCCAGGCTCACACAGCTAGTAAGTATCAAATGTCTGGTTTGAGATCAGATTTGAACTCAGGTCCTCCTGACTCCAGGGCTGGTGCTCTATCCACTCATTTTTACATTTTTGATGTTATAGTAAAAATTGTTCTCCTGGTTCTGCTAAATCTACTCTGTATCAGTTCTTACACACTTCCCAAGGTTTCTCTGAAACCATCACTTTCTTCATTTCTTCTATAACATTGGTATTCCATCACATTCATATACCTTAATTTGTTCAGCCATTCCCCAGTCGATGGGAACCCTCTTAGTTTCCAATTCTTTAATTCTACAAAAAGAGCTTTTGTAAATATTTTTGTATACACAGGCTCTTTAAAAAAGAACTTTCTAACAAAAGGGGTATGAGACGGTGAAACGGAGAATGAACAGAAGGTGTGAGATCCCTTTGGCTCTAATCTACTATGATTTCAACTATGGGAGGACCATATGGAGAGAAGGGAAGGAAGGAGTAGAGGAGGCTTCCTGTATTAGATAATAAACAAAGCTGTACTTAGCTATTCCATACTCTGAGTTCCTCTGTCCCATTTCCATTAGCTCATCACGGTCTCTTCTCTCCCAGCTTTACCACATAGGTACACATAGCACAGTGCTGGGCCTGGAGCCAGAGAGGCCTGAGTTTAACCTCAGACACTTACTAGGCTGGGTGATCCACAGCAAGTCACTTAACTTCTGTCTGCCTCATTTTTCTCATCTGCAAAATGGAGATAATAATAGCACCTCCCTCCTGTTTAGTCTGTTCTTCCCTTTTCCAGATGGGAAGATCCCTTCTTCTGTTCTTCCCCACAACTCTGTTCTCCATATATCTCAGCTCTTCCTTTCATCTCACGTCCTTTTATCAGTGGAGCCTCTGACAACTAGACACGGTCACTTAATGAACAATTGTTGACCACCAGCTATGTATAAGGGGCTGTGCCAGTTATGGTGGGGAAAAGAATAGGACTCAATCCCTTCCCTCAAGGATTTTTCATTTGTGACAATAATGAATGACCCAAATTTGAAAGCAAAAGAGAGAACTTGAGAATGCCAAAGTTGGAGTGGACCTTTGAGATTCTCCAGCTCAGTGAAGGCTTTATATATGAAATTTGCAGAAGTACAAATAACGGGACCTCCCCAAGGAGGTCAAGGAGAGAAGGAAAGGAACCATATGTTGTATCAAGAAGCTTGAAACAAAATGAGTGCCTATCAGTTAGGGAATGTCAGAACAAAACCATGGCATGTGAATGTAATGAATATTATTATTCAGTAGGAAATGATGAAAAGGACAGATTCAGAAAAAAAAAAAAGGACTTGGGTAATAGGCCAGGCGTAGCTTAGGCTGGGCTGGTAGCTCAGGTCTGAGATTAAAATAAAATAGGATGCTCACAGTTCATCTAACAGCTAACAAAAGGTTTACTTAGCCACAGCAGGGAAAGGACATTCAGAGCAAGGAAAGGATGTTCACTGAGAGTACCATGTTGATTCAGTTGAGTATGGATTCCTGGTGTTGGTCATGCTGCTGGTTTGCTGGTCTGAAGCCTCAGAGAGGAGCTTCTGATTGCTTTGAGCGCTTTTCTACTCAGGTGACAAGGAACCTACATTAATGGCCCTTGTCTTAGACCCCTGAGCCAATCAGGGGCTGGGGAAAAGGAGAATAGTGATAATGTTGCCAAATTTATGAAGGAGGATGGGACTAAAGAGAAAGGGAAGGGGGCAGCTAGGTGGCGCAGTGGATAGAGCACTGACCCTGAAGTCAGGAGGACCTGAGTTCAAATGTGGCTTCAGACCAAACACTTGACACTTACTAGCTGTGTGACCCTGGGCAAGTCACTTAGCCTCAACTCCCTAAAAATTAAAAAAAAAAAAAGAGAGACGTTTATTACAATAAAAAAATGAAAAAAAATTTTAATGCCAGACCACATAAAGGCCTGAGACTAGAATGGGAGGGGCTAAGAAGGTAGAGTTGGAAGGAATTGTGGTGGGAAAAAGAGACTAGGGAATGTTCATGTGGGACAGGACAAGAAAGAAACTGGCTTGCCTAAAACAAAGGGTTGGTGTTGGGAAGCAGTGAGGAAGAAGACAAAGTCCTTTATTTTTCCTGATTCTTCAGATACAACTTGTATGCACGCACCTGGCTGGGTTATCTCTTGTACCGAAAACAGCTTCAGAGGGCCAGACATCGCTATCCGGATGGTCACTCAGCTGTCCAGCCCCGAGTCTTTAATGGTAAGCGAGATCCAACTGGGGTTGACTTTGATCTTTTCCTCTTCACCCCTATCCCTGCCACCCCTCTGTAGGTAATCCTGTTCCATTTGATTAAACTTTACTTAAGTACCTACCTAAGCAAGACAAAAATGAAGCCCTCCCTGCATTGAGGGAACTTGAATCCTGTACTCTTTCCAAACATCGCCTCCAGTGGGGAGGGGGAAATTTCCATCTTTCCATACTATCTCCTAGTCCTCCTCCTTCTCCTGATTCTCGGCACTGTCTTTTTACCCCTCCAGGAGTGAAGGTGCTGCCCATTCCGGTCCTTCTTGACAACTATAGCTACCTCATCATTGATACCCAATCCAAGTTAGCTGTAGCTGTAGACCCTTCAGATCCAAGGGCTGTCCAGGTGAGAAGGTAGTCGTGTATGGGGCCAGGTGTATGCATCCCTATTTGTCCGGTATTTTAGTTTATCTGCCTATTCACACCCACACTCACATCTTTAGATCCCATTGGCCCCCTGGGAGAGGGATTGGGGGGTTGAGGGTGGGGAATCTGAGCATCTGGATTCTACCCATTGCCTTAGATACTGGTGCCTAATCCTATCCAAAGATGGTAGCCCTTTCACTCTTCTCCTAACTCCTCCTACCCCTTCCCTTCCCTCATCACCCATACCTACACCACATCCTTTTCTACCTAAGGCAAGGGATTTTTAAGAATAATCTGTTATTTTTATTTATAAATATATTTTATTTTTAAATTTAAATTTAAAATCAAAATATTTTAAAATTAAAATTAAAAATAAATTTTAAAAAATTTATAAATTATCTGTTATTATCTCTTGGTGGTCTAAGGTCCTTTTCAGCTGTTGGTGGGCATTATGAAGGGAACAGCAATAGTTCCATTCAGGGACAGGACAAGGAGAGGAGATGAGGCAATGAGGAGGGTAAGGGATAGTACTGGCACATAATTGCTCCAAGAGCTCTCCCCTCCCTTACCCCCCACATACTCATAATGTGGAGGAGTTGAACGTCTCCTGTCTTATGTCTCTGCTTAGCTCTCCCCCTTTGTTTCTTCTTGTCTTTTTTCTGCTCTTCACTCCTCTGTCTCTCTGCTTCTCTCCCTCAGGCCTGCATTGAAAAGGAGGGGGTCTCCTTGGTTGCCATTCTCTGTACCCACAAACACTGGTAAGAGCACTGACCCAGGAAGCCCAGAGGGCCTCCCTTTCAGGCCTCCCCTCCCCCCCACCCCCCCAACCAAGCCTTGTCCTGAATCATGCACTTCAGGTCAGTAGGCTCCAGGGTGAAATACTAACAGTAAACCACCCACACACAATTGACCAGAAATGGCTAGAAATAACAGAGGTATGGAGAGAGAAATCAGGCTGGGATGGGGAAGGCACGCAATGATTTGTCTTTCCTTTAGGTCATGTTTCAAATGGTACTAGATAATAACAATAAGAATAAGAATAACCACTCATATAGTGCTTTGAGGTTTGCAAAACAGATTGCAAAATACGATCTTATTTGATCCTAACAACAATCCTGGGAAGTTGGTGCTATTATTATCCCCATTTTACAGATAAGGAAAATGGAACCTGATGAGGTTGTAACTTGCCTAAGGTCACACAGTTAATAATTGTCTGAGGCACATATTCGAACTCAAGTCTTCCTGACTTTAAATCAAGCTCTCTTTCCACTGCACCATTTAACTGCCTCACCTAGCTAGACAAGGGAAAGGGAAGCCACAGGGATGGACAGTGAGAAAGGAGCCAGGGGTGGGGAACCTGCAGCCTCGAGGCCATTCTAGGTCCTTGGGTGCCACCCTTTGACTGAATCCAAACTTCACAGAACAAATCCTGTTAATAAAAGGATTTGTTCTGTAAGACGTGGACTCAGTTAAAATGCCGCACCCAAGGACCTAGAAGGCCACAGTTGCCCACCCTGGAGGCGTGTTATAGGATAAGTTGGGTATGCCTTCCCCACACATGGCAGCCTGGGGCAGTGCAAAGCCCCCTGGACTGGGAGTCAGAAGACCAAGTTCTGTCACTATTCATTGCTCCAGCTTTAGTTTCTGAATTGGCACTTTGGGCCAGGGCCAGGCTCCATCTCTGGGTGTGGTAATTGGCCCTTCATGGCCTCTCTCTGGATCCCCTGGGTTCTTGTGCTGACCTTCACTCACCTTGAATCTTGGAGAGTCAGAGTGCTGCATCTTCAGGGTACTTTCTGGCATCCCTGGACAGAGTGTTAGGGCCCTTCTAGCCCCCGGGCCTGGTTGGTGTATTCAGATGGCCCTGGGGTGTGTTTGTAATTGTGATGAGTGATTAGTTCTAACTTTCTTTCTGAGTGTAAAACAGTGCCTGTCCCAGTGATTAGGAGCTGGATAATTCAATGGGCAGGCCTAGCTGAGCAGGCCCAAGTACAGTGGGAATTTATTTGGGCTGTGGCAGCATCCTGAACCAAGACAAAAGGGACCCAAGTGGCTATAGTCCTTGTCCTTTCTTTGATATCAATAAATTCTAACCAGGTAAATTCCCTGTGGAGAGGCAGCATGTGGATAGTGGATGGAATGCTGACTTTGGAGTCAGGAAAAACCTGGGTTCAAGCCTGGCCTCAGATGCATATGAGCTGTGTTACAGTGGGCAAGTCACTTAAGCCCTAGGCAACTCTCAAATGCAGGACTTCTTAAGCTTTTTTCTGTGTCATGGACCCCTTTGGCAGTGAAACCTATAGACCCCTTCTCAGTTTTTTAAATGTATAAAATAAAATACATAACATTACAGAAGGATACCAATTCATATAGAAATACAGTTATCAAAATATTAAAAACAAAAACTAAGTTTATAGGCTCCAGATTAAGAACTCCTGATTGAAGGCTGTAAAAATACAGATGAGTCCTGATTTTTATTGTGGAAAGGTGGGTGCCACACTGATGAAATCACAGGTGCGTAGGTCTGGACCAAAAGAAAAAAGATTCTAATGAGTTTGACCGGTTTCTTTTTCTTGAATCTTCAATCTGTCTAAAATGCATGTCCTGGGGCAGCTAGGTGGTACAGTGGATAGAGCACTGGCCCTGGAGTCAAGAGGACCTGAGTTCAAATCTGGCCTCAGACCAAACACTGGACACTTATTAGCTCTGTGACCCTGGGCAAGTCACTTAACCCTAATTGCTTAAAAATACAAAAACAAAAAAACAAGAGCTAAAATGCATGTCCTTTCCTGACTCAAAAACTGGTTTTAAGGCTCAAACAAGATGATACCTATGGAAATGCTTTGAACTTTGTAAAATGCAATCCATGCGTAAGCTGTTGTGATTTCTCTGTCATTGCCTTGCACTCTGCACTGTAGGGACCACAGTGGGGGCAACAGGGAATTGAGACGGCATAATAGAGGATGCCGAGTCTACGGGAACCCCCAGGATGGCATTGCTCACCTCACTCAGTAAGTAATCTCCTGAGGTCCTCTTCAACTTCTTTTCTTCTAACAATTTCTCTCAAATCAAGACTTTAAAGAAGTGTAGTCCCAGCCTCCCCCCAGAGCCATAGTCCACTTCCTTACAGGGCGTTCTGTTTTTCCTCTTTCCCCTTCCTCTTACCTGCTGCTTTTCCCACCCAACTGGGCTTCTGTAGATACAGGCAGAAGAGGGACTTTGATACTCTTTCCCTGCTTTCTCCCCCTACCCCATTTTTCTACCAAGTGAGCCCTTCAGACCACCTCTGTGCCCTAGGACTATTCCTTCTTCCCTCTCATCAGTCCTTCCCCATGACTTCTGGAGCAAGAGCTTAAGGCTCTGGATTAGAGATTTTGAAAGCCTGGGTGACATAATCTGCCTTTAATCTAGGAAGCCCTCTCCAGAGTCTACTATCCCATTGTCAACACCAGTGAGAGTGGAGAAGGCTAAAGTGCATGCTAATGTGTTTCCTTCTCTATTCTCCCTTCTCCAGTCCCCTTTGTCACCGGGATATGGTGAGTGTGGGGAGGCTTCAGTTCCAGGCTCTGGCCACCCCAGGTCACACCCGGGGGCACATGATCTATGTGTTGGATGGAGAACCCTACAAAGGCCCCTCCTGCCTCTTTTCAGGGGATGTTCTCTTCCTCTCTGGTTGTGGTGAGTCCCACCCTCAGATGGAGAGGTGTGAGGGATGGGGTACTGGTGAAGGGAGAGAGACTCCTGGAGAAAAAGGGGAGGGGGGCCCCTGTATTTGGAGGAAGGCACAGGGCCAGAAAACCAAAGTGAATAATGAAGGTTCCCAGGGGCCCATCGGGTTAGCCAAATGATACTTCTGTCCAAATAACAGGAAAGAACTACAAGTCCAACATGTAATGTAGCATAACAATTCAATCAGTTTCCTCTAATATCCAGTAAAGAAAAGAAAGGCACAGAGGAGACAGGAAAATGCCTGCGTTGGAGGTCTTGGCTCCTTAGATCCCTAAATGAAGTTTTAAAAATTGTATAAGAGGGGAGGAGATTGGGAAAGAACAGAGGGCCAGTAGAAAAAAGAACCAAAAAAATGGTGTGGCTAAGCCTTCCAGTTTAGCCTGCTCCACGCCCTCATTGTCGATCTCATCCCATTCTCCTCTCTGTCCCCTAGGCAGAATATTTGAAGGGTCCCCTGCAACTATGTTGAACTCGCTGGACCTCATCATGGGCCTGGGAGATGATACCTTGCTTTGGCCTGGTAAGGGAATCAGTGCTGTCACCCTATCTATCTTTACCTATCTGTCACCCTATCTTTACCACTGCATTTCCTTCTCCCTCCATCTCCCAACCTGGGGGCAAGGAAAACTGTCCCCCTAAGTTAGAAAAATTGTCTATGTCAGATATTAGATACAAACAGGGACCTCAAGGCCCAGAGAGAAAAAAAAAAACATAACCCATTTCCCAAGACCCCAACTCTGAAAGAGACGATTGTCATCTGGGTTTGCCAGCTGAATCTGCTGCCCGGATGGCAGATTTGAAATCCCCCTTCCTAAGCAACTGGGACCATATTCCTCCTCCTCCAGACCTAGGATCCTAACACCTCCCACCTAGCTGATTTAGCAGTAATAGCAGCAACAGGGAGAATCTCAAACATTCTGCTGGAATATATCCAGAAGAGATTGCCCAACTTAGTTATGATGGGAGGGAGGGGCACTCAGAACTGGCTTCTGATTGGCAGGAACCTAGCTGAAGATGTGCCTAATAGCCACAGCTCAATTAAAGACACAGTCTCTGATTGACCAGAAGGAAATCAGTGTGAGGTTTCTGATTGTCTGTGGTGCGTATTAAAGAGTGGGTTCTCTATTGGTTGGAACTGAATCTTAAGACCTGCTCTGGAGAGGCTGCCTATGGCTCTGTACCTGTTATTCTCACCTTGATTCCCCAACCCAGTTGCCCAGCCATGGACTTCTGAGGGGAGGCAAGGGTTGGCACCCTTTCCTTATCAGGTGACATGCATCCTTATTTCTCTCCTGAATGGCCCAGGTCATGAGTATGCGGAGGAGAATCTGAGCTTTGCGGGTCTGGTGGAACCAGAAAACATGGCACGAGAGAAGAAAATGCAGTGGGTTCAGCAGCAGCGGCTGGAATACAGGAGCACGGTGAGGAAGGGAGGCGTGGGGCAACCCCAGGGAAGTGAAATAAGAACAGCATTTGTAGTAACTCACCTTTTTAGCCCTTCATAGAATTCAGAGTACTTCCTTAACAATTTTCCAGTGGGTGAGGTAGGGGGTAAGTTTTGTCTCTCTTTCACAGACAATAAAGTATTATCCTCATTCTGCTGGTGTTAACTGACTGCCAGAAAGGGAAAATGCCAGCCTAACTCTCCAATGAAAAAAAATTACAAGCTTACCTCTCCACTCTGGCTATCCAGAAGTACCAATCTGCTTATCACCCTAGAAAGCACACTAGACTTGGCATGAAGAGATTTGGATTCAAATCCTGATGTGGCTAGTTATTAAAATCTATGTGACCTCATGGAATTAACTCGATTCAATAAATATTTATTAAGCCATTAAGCACTTCCCTTTTGCCAGGCACTGCGCATACAAAATGATACAACCCCTATAGACACAGTAGTGTATAGTCTACTGAAGGGGATATGACATGGAAACAGATCAATTTCATGCCCCAGGTAGGGAGTATTGTGTAAGGGAGTTAAGACATGCTCATCATCATCCTCATTTTAAAGAAGAGGAAACCAAGGCTCTGGGAGATAAGCTCCTACAGTTAGCGAGGAGCAAAAGCCACTTTTTGTCCCTCCAAAAATAAATTTGAATCATGCTGTATTCTTTCCAATGGCTTTGATATCTCAGGCGAGCCCACATATGTCCTTTTAGGTGGGATGACAGAAAGAGAACACATAGCCATCCTTGAATTTCAGTGACCAGCCCCATACGACCTACATCCTTGGAGTATTAAGAGAACTGGAAAATATGATTTTGGAGCCATTGCCAGTAATCTCTGAAAAATCTTGAAAAGCAGGAGAAATACTCCAGGATTGGAGAAGGGAACATGACCTGATTTTCATAAAAGGAAATGCAATCTAGTGTGTAACTATAGGCCAGTGATCTGGAATTCGATTCCTGGCAAAATTCAAGAGCCCATTATTAAAGGAATGGTTACTGACCATCTAGAAAAGGAGTTGGTCATCACTGTGATCCAAGATGGCCTCATTAAGAAAGGGTCAGGGCAGACCTCATTTCCTTTTTGGACAGATTTCTAGATTGGTAGATCAAGGGAATGCTATAGGTATGGTTTTCCTAGATTTTAGCAAAACATTTGACAGTCTGAAACTATTCTTAAAGGATAGAGATCTTACAGGATCTTATAAGATGGAGAGACGTGAGCTAGCTAACTTATAATTGTGTGAATTTTTAAAAGGCTGAACAATCAGAACCAAAGAATAGTTATTAATGAGTTGATGACAATTTGGAAAGAGGTCAGTAGTGGAGTGCCCCAGAAATCTGTCCTTGGGCCTGTAGCCATCTTTATCAATGATTTGTATGACAACGTAAATGTTCAGATGATACAAAACTGAAAGGGGACACTATTGCATTGAATGAGAGAGTCAGAATCCAAGAAAAGTTCAACAAGCTGAAACAATGGGCCAAATCTAATCAAATGGAATGTAGGAGAGATAAATGTAAACTCTTACCCTTGGGTTCAAGAAGTCAATTTCACAAATATAAGATAAGGGAGGTATAGCTAGATAGCCACAATTAATTTGGGGGGAAAAAAACTTTGCTGTTATAGCAGACAGTAATCTAAATGACTCAAAATGGCAGCTGAGAAGGAAGGTGTTCTGTTCTCTCCTGGTCAGAAAACATCTGGAGTATTATGGCACATGTTTTAGGAAGGGTAGTGATAAGCTGGAGAGCCTTCAGAGGAGGGCAACCAGGCTAGTGAGAATAAGATGAAGGAACTGAGTATGCTTAACCTGGGAGAAAGACAACTAAGATAGAGACAAGGAGGAGAAAAAGACCAGAAGAAAAAAAGGTTGGGGGGGGGTGCTTGGGGAAGGCCATGATTGATGTCTTCAGATAGTTGAAGGGCTTTCAGGTAGAAGAGAGGTTAGACTGGATGTGCTTGTCCTAAGAAGGCAAAACTGAAAGCAGTAGGTAGAAATGGTAGTGAGGCTTGATAACACCAAAAAACTTAATAATATGAGTGATCCAGAAGAAGAATAGAGTGTCCCCAAAGGTAGCAGGTGGCCCCCTTTTAGAGTTCTTTAAGCAAAGGTTGGATACCCACTTAGATATGTTATAGAAGGGATTCTTGTTCAGGTATGACATTTGATAAACTGGCATAATAATGACTATAATTACAATTACATTGGGTTCCCCAACTCCAAGCCCAAGTTTCTTCAAGCCCAAGCCCTGCATTCTAATGCTTTCTATTGTCTCACTCCCTACAGTGCCCATCAACCATTGGAGAGGAGAAGACATACAACCCATTCCTGAGGACCCACTGCCTTGCTCTTCAGGAGGCCTTGGGACCACTGCCTGGCCCTGGTGGGGATGCTGGCCCTTCCAGAGCACGACTGCTTGAAGAACTTCGGAGGCGCAAGGATCAGCACAAGGGCAAATGATACCCCTATTTGCTGGGGTCCCTCTTAATTCTTCATTCTCTTCCTTCCCTATCATTAGTATATTTGCCCTCCCTGGTATTGCCTCTCTTCCTCTCATTCTGACAGAAGAGGGAGCAGAAAAAGGCATTCACTTCATGGTAGATTTCAAAAGGAGGGTGTGGATGGAAAAGGAGATCTCTGGGGAAAGGGGGCTGGCCACAAATGATGGGATTCATGGGTGGGGAGAAGAAGAGAGAAAGGAAATAAAGAGTATTCCTGCCTCCTTCAGCACCTACTGCTATACCGCACCCCCCTTGGTCCTTGGATTTCCTTGAAGGTAGGTTGGGAGTCTTATGAGGAAACTGGACAGTTGAGGGCTTCTGGGTCAGTCTGTCTCTTGAGCCATCTCTGCTACCCTAACCCCTGACCTCCACCACTGGAAGCCTCCATCCATCCAAATCCTGGCTGTCCAGTGCTACTTTTTCCCACTGAAGATGCCTGATAGAATCCGGTATCAGAGGAGGCAGGAGGAAGGAGAGTCAGGTGAGATGAGCACCACTGCGACTTAGATCTGTTCCTTTCTAATATCTCCCTTTGCACCCTCCTTCCAGGGAGTTTGAAATAAAGTCTTTCAAGGGGGTCAGCTAACATTGGGCTTCTTTTGGAAAAGGTTGTGGGGTTCAATGTTTGTTTAGCTTTGGTTCTCCTAGAATAACCCCCTCCCCTCAAAAACAAAATCCCTTTGTCCACTGGTTTCCCTGGTGCCGACACCTCCTGACTCTTTGGAATCAGTCTCAAAGACCAAAAGAAAATAGAAAGGCGAGGGAGTCATCCCTTTTTACATCTGGATGTTCCTCTTCTCTTGACTGTATTTCAACGCTTCATTCCCTACCCCAACTAGGGAAAAGAAAACATTGCTTCAAAAGACCACCTTGCTTGACTACAAACCCAAGACCCTACACGGGCATTGCTGAAGTTCTTAAAAATAGGGACCTGCCTGTTCTAGTAGGCATGACACATTTCAGCATCAGGAGCCTCTAGGGGTCGTGCTGACCAACCACTTTGCCTCTCTCTGGGCTGGGGCCCCTCCTTCAGAGAGATCCCATAGCTTCTCATTCTGCTGTCTCCTGTTTCTTATCTATCTAACCTAAATCCTCCCTGCTGGACTCTCAATCTATTTCCTTCTATCTTTCATAGAGATGGAAAATATCTGGAAAGTGAAATAACCTTTCTGATTGAAAATCAATTATTGGACACCCTCAGCCCTTCCTCACCACTTTCTTTTGCTGGACCTCTGATTTCATTGGTATAATGAGCTCCCTAAGAGGGTGCTGCCTTCCCCAATGCAGATGACCACCTGCAACGGGTATGGTATTGAGAGTTGACCGGGGCATCTGGCCAGTATGTGTCAGAAGCAGGACCTGAACCCAGGTCTTCCTGGCTCAGAGGCCTGTTCTCCAGCCACTTCTGCTTTTCTTTTCTTTTTTTTTTTTTCTGCTAATGATTTGGTTGGTTTGGTTTTTTGTTTGAGAGAGTTAACGATCAACTCCCCTTTACTTAAGTAGGACTATAGCAGTATTAACGGCCAGCTTGAAGTGATAATAATTTTTATTTGAATAGAGTGAAAACAATGTGGCAAATGTGCATTTTTCTGAGCTGTCTAGCTTTTAAGGTTTAGGTCAGTCACTTTTATCCAAACCTCCAGAATGATACTTCATTATTGTTTTAAGAGCAATGGTTCACATGGGCCAGTGTGGTAGTCCAGATAAACCCCTGCCCCTTCTGAAGACAGGCTGTCTGCTGTAGACAGGAAGATCTTCCTTTCTAGTATTCCTGCCCTGCCCCTTCTCTATAACCTCCTGTATTGGAAATTTTTCTTGCTGTAAACTAAGAACTTTCCAGCCAATTCAGGCTTACTAGCCTGAGGGTGGGAAGCCAATCAGACACCCCTGCTAGAGAGCTTGACCTTGTCTTTCTTCCCCCTCCCAGCCCTGTTGTTTGGGATGGCCCCAGGTGTGCCCAATACAAGAGGAATAGCATCATCAGGTCCAGAGGGTGCCTCTTTCTGGACCCCCTTCTTCTTGCCTCAACCTAATCATCATTGTACCACAGCCTATGTACCCTGTCGCCTCTGGTATTTCTTTGCCTAACGTGTGACTGTGATCCAATTGTATCTCTGTGCTCCGTGTTCCCTTATTTCTCCGCCTGTATCGCGTTAAGCCACTAGCCTTCCCTTGTGAGTTAATGTATCCCTAATAAAAGTCTATATATATTTTTTTTTTGCATTAATAGCTATTCTTTCCTTTTCAAAATTCCTTGAAGTCTCTATAATGGACACCACAACAAGCTTCACGTGTGACGTCAAGAGTTCTAGACAGCCGTGAACGTCTTGGATAGACTGCCTGCGACCGTTATGGAAAGATGAATGATCATTTCTTAAACATCTAGCATTCACCAGATACTGTGCTAAGTGCTGGAGATACAGATATGAAAAAGACAGTCCCTGCTCTCGGGAGGCTTACAATCTGGTGGAGAAAATTGTTATTCAGTCATTTCCAGCTCTTTGTGACCCCACTTGGGGTTTTCTTGCCAAAGACACAAGAGTGGTTTTCCATTTCCTTCTCCAACTCATTTTACAGATGAGGAACTGAGGCAACCAGGGATAAGTGACTTGCCCAGGGAAAACACAGCTAGTAAATGTCTGAGGCTAGATTTGAACTCAGGACTTCCTGACTCCAAGCCTGGCACTCTATGCACTGTGCCACTGAGCTTCCCCACTGGAGGGAAACAACACAAAATGAAGCTGAAAGTGGGGGAGGGGGAAGGGACCAAGTGAAGGAGCGTGGCAAATTCAAAGATATCCAAAATGAGTGCAGCCAGGTGGGAAATGATACGTCTAGGGAGAAACGTGCACAAGAGTCGAATCTCCATTGAAGACTCAAAGTATGACCAGGATGCTGAGGTTGCACTTGTGAAGACCAGGAGGTCTTAGTTCTAGAGCTCCCATCATTCAGTCCTCTCCCTGGTCCTCCTTCCTTTACTCATTATTCCCATCCAATAGCATCAGTGCCCTAAGCTTCTTACTTTTGACCTTGCTTCTCCTACCTTTACTTCTCCCTACACTCCAACGTCATCCTCTTAGGACAAGCTCATCCTAGCTCCTGAGACTACAATTGGCTGATTTGTTCAACTCATTGTATAGGGCCTGGAGCCAGGAAGACTCATCTTCATGAGTTCAAATCTGGTCTCAGACAATAGCTGTGTGACCCTGGGCAAGTCACTTAATCCTATTTGCTTCAGTTCCTCATCTGTAAAATGAGCTGATGAAGGAAATGGCACCTGACCCCAGTAGCTTTGCCAATTTGGTATCATCAAGAGTCAAACATGATTCAACAACACTGACTAGTATACATTAAATAAGATAATAATAGCCAATTCAAATGACCTTGGTGTAAAATATCTCTGGTGCCCATTGAAAATATGTGTGTATATTGTATATGCATGTAATATGTATATATACATATGCATATGTATACACATGTAAGTATATGTGTGTATATATGTAAAAGCATAGATATCTCTATACAGATTTTGTGTGTGTGTGTGTGTGTATGTAAAAGCACCCATCTCTATACAGACAAAATCCATTCCAGGAAAATCTGTATGGAGAAACTTGTTTTCATTCATTTTAATAATGGAAATTAAGGAGCATTCCTGGACCCTCCACAAAAGTTATCCTGTTGCTTTAATATGCCCAAATAGACGTGGTAGAAGGGTGGATAAAGAGCCAGCCACAGAGTTTTAAAGATCTGGGTTCAAATTTGACCTCTGACACATGCTGGCTATGGCCTTGGGCAAGTCACCAGATTTCTCAGTGCTCCCATGAATCTCAGTCTATAAATTTCAGAGCAGACATTCATCTGCATTCATGGAGGGAATTTCCCTCCCTCAGAATTCCCTGCCTGGATGACATAAGATCTAATCTTTTTTAAAATGTATATAGAAATGGAATTAGAGTTAGAAGTAGAATTAGAATTAGGGTATAGAGATAGGATTCTTCAAAAAGTTATATTTGATCATTAACAGAAACCTAACTCAGTGTTGTAAGACTTGAAGATACTTAAAGCATGCCCATTCATTGCTGGTAGAGTTAAAAACGCATAAAAACATTTTAGACAGAAATGTGGCAGTGCACTTTTAAAATTACCCAAAAGGTCATCCTACTCTTTGCCTTAAAAATTTCATTGTCGGGCAGCTAGGTGGTACAGTGGATACAGCACCAGCCCTGGAGTCGGGAGGACTTGAGTTCAAATCTAGTCTCAGACCAGATACTTGACACTTATTAGCTATGTGACCCTGGGCAAGTCGCTTAACCCCAATTGCCAAAAAAAAAAAAACCCCATTGTCAGGAATGCACCCTGACAAGTGTTATCAAATCCAAAAAAGATCTATGTGGGCCAAAGAATTTCAAAATGACATTATAAGTAATTACACACACAGAGAAAACCCCAGCAATCCTGGAAACAACCTAAATGCCCAACAGGGGAACCACTAAAAAAAAATTGTGACACATTAATGTAATAGAATGCTACTTATAAAATGGGCAAAGCAAAAAAAAAAAAAAGGAGACAGAAACCAGAAGTAAATATTAATTGTAAACAAAAAGCAGGTGGAAAAGAATGAATAAAGAATCCTCATGAATGACTAAAAAAATTGTCATGATATTTTATCCTTGAAATTAATGAATTTAAATGTAAATACTTTGCAAGTTTGGTTGATTATAGTGATTTTCTATGTTATTTTTATTTTTCTTAATGTCCGCATTAGTAATGTTGTGAAAGAAGAAATAGAACAAAAGGGAAAAACCACAAAAAAAATTTTTAAGTGAAAATAGTAAGAAAAGATGGAAAACCTTCAATATAATACACAGTATTTAACATAAAGATTTTCTTGAAATGAAAAGTTATTGCTACATATTTTGAATCCTCTCCTATGTTCTGCTGTGCACATAACATTCTTTGTTTTTTCTTATTTTATGTTTCTTTTCTGCTTATTATGTATTTAAGTTTTAGCATTTGTCTAAAATGAAAAAAAATTTAAGAAAAAAGTTAATTAAACAGAACAAGAAAATAGTATGCTTCGATCTGCATTCAGATTCCATAGTTCTCTGAATGTGGATAGCATTTTCAATCATGAGTCTTTTGGAATTGTCTTGGATCAATGTTTTTAATTAAATATATATTTTTTTAGTTGCAAGAATATTGAGGGGGGGGAACATCTCTTTTCCCTTAAAAGGTTGTTGAATATGGACTGAACCAATCACTACTTGTTTCATTTTCTTGGGTCACATATAGTGATGGTATTTAGATTGGGCAGAGATTGAGGTGAGGCTGGTGGATGGAGAAATAAGGTAAAGAAGCAAGGTGAAATATGACCTGTATGTCTTAGGGTCGATGATACCGGGGAGGGGAGGAATGTCACCTGATGCCTCCGTGTTGTAGGTTACAACCAAAGTTTGGTTTGGGGGGGGGAGGTTGGGAGGGGGGAAACCTCTTCTGAAGCTAGTGGGGCAGTGACCCCTAGTGGGCAGTCAGCTTCAGATATCAACAAGACTGCTTTCAAGTGAAAAAATACCTTAGAAACAGAATGCTGGAATGTGAAGAGTTTATCTGATGAATAGAGAAACTGAGGCCCAGAGACATTCAGTAGCTAATCACACATTTAACTAGGGGTAGGTCCCCTAGTTATGATTTTTACAGAAATACAAAGGAAGAGACCTGTAGGGATCATCAGTCTCCTCTTCACAGCCACTCCCTTAGTTCAGGCCCATATATCACTTTTGCTAGGACTATTGTACTAGACTACTAATTATGCCTCAAGTTTCTAGTTTTTATTCTCTCCAACTCATCTTCCCCACGGCTGCCAAAATACTCTTCCTAAAGTACAAGTCTGATCTTGTCAACTCTCTGGCTTAAAAATCTTCTTGCCTCTAGAACCAAGTGCAAACTCTTCAGATTGGCATTTAAAACCCTTTACAGTCTGGCTCCAGCCTAATTGTCCAGTTTTGTTACACATCACCTCCCCTTATGCCCTTTGTATTTTAAAAATTATTTATTTTTAACATTCATTTAAAAAAATTTGAGTTCTAAATTTTCTCCCTTGTGCCCCTCCCCCACCCACTGAGAAGGCAAGCTATATATCAATTATGCATGTGAAATCATGCAAAACAGATTTCCATATTAGCCATATTGCAAAAAAAAAACACAATAAAAAGTAAGAAACATAAAGTGAAAAAAGTATGCCTCACTCTGCACTCACATTTCATCAGATTTCTCTCTGAAGGGGAAGAACATTTTTCATCATGGGTCCTTTGGAATTGTCTTGGATCGTTGTATTTATCAGAGGAACTAAATCTTTCACGGTTGATCATTGTTACAATATTGTTATTGTGTACAATGTTCTGGTTCTGCTCACTTTACTTTGCTTCAGTTTATATAGGTCTTCCCAAGTTTTTCAGAAACCATCCTTCCTACAGCACAATAGTATTTCCATCACAATCATATGCCACTGTACAGCTGGAAATGATATTTGTGAAAGTACATTATAGTGACCAAAGAAGAAATATTTGGATCGTTTGCAGAGATGGGTGTGGAACAAGGCATATAAAGGATATAATGGCATATAAACCATATGATGGTCCCTGGGTGTGGAACAAGGCATATAAACAAATTGTTTCAATGTATTGGTTGGTTTTACTGAATTTTTTCCTCTTTTTTCTTTTAAATTATTGTACAGTATGGTTCTCTGGGAAGGGTGATTAGAGGAAAGGAGAAATTTAGGTAATATAAAAACAAAAGATATCAATAAAAACCGATTTTAAAAAGATTCTCAGATTTCCTTCAAGGGTCCAACAGAAAACCTTTCCTGATCTCCCTAGCTCTTGGTACCTTCCACTCAAAACTACCTTGTATCTATCTACCTTGTATATACCTACATATGCATAAACATGTTATCTCCCCCAGCCAGATTGTAAGTTCCTCAAAAGTGAGAAGGCTTCACTTCTGTATTTGTATCTCCAGTGCCTAGCATAGCACCTGGCCCAAAGTAGGCGGTTAGTAAATACTGGTTGATGGAGTGACTCTCCTTAGTTGTTGGGGGGTTCTCTCCCTCTTAGAATTATCAGGTATTTCCTTTATTTGTTGTACCACCTTCCTCAGTAAAATGTAAGCACTTTGAGGACTAGGAGCAGGTTTGGGGTTCTCTTTGAATCTCTGGCACCTAAGACAGTGCCTTGCACATATTAAGTGTTTGATGAATGATTTTTGGATTGGGCTGGTTGATATCCCCTACACACTCACACACACTCCAAACAAGAAGTGTCAACCACCCAGTACAGACCAGCGTGGCTAACTGATGCGTTAAGAGCCCAGCCACAGTTTCCCTCCGAAGTGAATGGGGGCTGTGCTAGAAGGGTGGAGTAAAGCAGGGTGATATTGGGTGATGGCTCCTTTAAGAGGCAGTCGGCTGCCGGTTGCCCTGGGGACCAGTGGATACATTCTGGGGTGCCGGCAGCATGCCTGGCAAAGGTAAGGGGTCTGCGCATTTAGGGCGTTGGTGAATCAGGTTCTGCAGCGAGGGGACTTCCCCATCTCGCATTATGCCCACCTTAAGAATCCTGGGGGCCCGAAGGGAGTGGGCGCTAGGAATTGCCCCCTGACCCCCTCCCCTTTCTGTATCTGCCCCACCCCCACCCTCACCCTCACCCTTGTCTGCCTAAACTGTTCCCCCAGGAGCCAAAAGACCGGAGCCCGAAGTGCCGGAGGAAGCACCGCCGCCCCCACCACCTGAAGCTAATTCCGAGGCTTTGGAATTTCTAGCTACAATAAGTAAGATTTAGCGCTTCCCAGGCCCGGCGGGGGGGAAGGGGGGCGGCGAGAGAACATGCCAGGGTTCTGTTTAAGTGAAGCCCCTCCGGAAAACCAGGTGGATTTGGGCTCAAGAAACTGCTGCTCACTACCCACGTGTGACCTTGGGCAGCTCACTTCAAGTCTTGGAGTATGTAAAATGAAGGACTCCGAGTACCAGAAGGCCCTTTCTGGCTCTAAATCTGTAATCTTGTAATCATTAACTGAAATGGGTGGTTGGACTCACCCTTTTGGCAGTAATGAAGACTGTGGACCACTTCTCAGAATAATCTTTTTAAATAATTGAAGTAAATACTAAATTTTAATTAAATCATAGTGAAAACAGATGTAATTCCTCCCCCCAACTTCATGGACCCTCTGAAATTTATCCAGGACCCTAGGTTAAGAAGCCCTCCCCCTATTAAATGATTTCTAAGGTCTACCTGGGAATCCTAGGTATCCCAGTTCCCTCCTCCCTCCTGGCCTCAGTTTCCTCTTCTGAACCAAGATGGACAAATGTCTGTTGTTTGGGTAGTGGAGGCTGGCAAAAGCTCTTTAAAGGTTACTGGGCCTTAGAGGGATGGGTGTGGCTGGGGAGGGGTACAGAACAGGTGCTGAAGCCTGGAGCTTCATCCCTCTTGCCTCTCTTGCCCATAGGTGAAGAAGAAATTCCGTTGCTCTATTTCTCTGAGACTTTGAACATGATTTCTGAGACTAACCAGATTCTGGGGGAGTATTCCCTGGACATAAAACAAGCCTATTACTATAGTTCCGATGGGGACACCAAACGCAGTGTCCTAGTGCATGCCACCAGCCGGGGCCAGCTGGAAGAAATCCCCTGTGGGACATCTATCTCGGGTAAGACTTCTGATTCTTGACCTCTCCCTTGTACTCCCTCCCAGCTAATCCATCCTTGTCAGTACCTCAATTCTTCACTCAGTATCTCTTCTCCATTGCTTTATAAGGAACTGTGTGGAGATGAGGCAGGTGAAACCTATCAAAAGCCTCTGCATGGGCAAGGCTGTCTCCTAACAGTGTTAGGGCATCTCCAAACACTCCAAACACTGGAAACAGCCTCTAGCATTCCAACAGACCCTTGGAGGCTAGATTCAACCTGCTTCTTCAAAACCCCAAAGCCCAGTCCACAGAATCTCAGAGGCCCCTTACCAATAAATAACCTCCCTACCCTTCTACTCCCTCTCTCAGACAAATGAGTCCTACCCCATGCCTCCTTACGAATATCTGGTCTTCCTTTCAGGCTATCTCGACTGGGATTTGAAAACATATCAGCAGCACCATCATGAATTCATTAAGGTGTCAGGACCTATTTTCTCCCCACCTCTCCCCTCCCTCAATATCATAGGCACTTAGCTTTGGCCTAAAGACAAAGACTGCCCACCATCTAGGAACTTGGGTGTGGGGGGATTGGGAGACCCAGGACCAGTTGAGGAACATTGGATGTAAAGTCAGGAGACACAGGTTCAAATCTAAACTTGAACACTTCCTGACTGTGATCATAGGCAAGTTACTTCATCACTCTGGTTCTCATCCCAAGTTTCTTAGTCAGTAAAATAGAAATGTTAATCTTTGTACTCCCTACTTCACCAGGATGGAGTGAGGAAGGCAAATTGTAAAACTTAAACTGCTGTGTAAATATGAATTGTTATTAATATTCTTAGGTGCCCCAGAATCCTTTAATTTTTTAAATCTCCCCTTTCCCAGTTGAAGCTCCATCCCCTAAACAACCCATAACTCTAATAGACAAAGGATTCAAAAGGTCAGGGGGTGGTTTTGTCCAGTGGTCCTGCCTCCCTCTCCTCATTCCCAATTGCATGGCACTGTAACCCTTGGGGTCAACTTCCCCTTCACCTAACCTCACCCTAAGCCCAGAAATCTCCCACATCAGTGGAGCCCACTCAAGCTCAAGAGTTCCAAGACTCTAGCTGAGAATCCTAGGTATCCCAGTTTTCTCCTCCCTCCTGGCCTCAGTTTCCTCTTCTGAACCTTTATCCTCTCTTTGGGCTCTTATTTCCCACTCCTCTGTGTCTTTGGCCCCCTCATCAACTTGTTCCTATGCCCCCTCCCATTCCTCTTAAACTTGGCAGTTCTTACCTCTGTCAGTTGACAAGAAGACCACCTTACTGAAGCAGAATGCAGACATGCTGATGACTAGAATCCTCAAGGAAGGTGAGGTGAGTGGGGACCCTGACTTGGAGGGAAGGTGTCATTGGCTGGACTGGGTATGTACTAGGTATTAGGTGCTGGACTAGAAGAATCCTCTTATGCCCCTCCTACTCAAAGGCTATAGCTACCCACCTCCCTCCCCTTGCCACCAGGAATTCTGACCCATATAATGTCTTGGGCAGGTTACAAAGACAGAAAAGACATCATTCAACCTGAATGTGATGGATGGGTTCATCTCAGAGTCTGCTAACCTGCTCCTGCTAAGGGTGATGGGCTGGCGAAGGAAGGTTCCCCAAAATGCCAAATTCCTGGCCTTTGATGGAGAAGGAAAGCTCTGCCACTCCACCTATGTGAGGGAGCGCTGTAGCCTGGGAGTGAGCTGGGGGAAGGGCTGAGGAAAGGGGTTCTGGTGGATCAGGATCTGGCAGGGAAGAGAGGGGTGAGTTGGGACAGAAGTTATCCAGTGGTCCTGAGGGAGAATATTGATTGCTAAGGAATAGAGCGCATTGGGTCAGAGATCAGGGGATTGGAGCTGGGCACCATTCACTGTATCCTTATCCCACCTTGTCTCCTCACTCATTGTCCTTCCTCGTAGCCATGAAGGACATATAAAGAAGGTTGGTATTGAGACAGAGTATATGAGAAAGGGAGTGTTAGGAAGGGGAAGAAGAGGGTCAAACTGAGTCTTGAAGAAGGAAGAGGAGTCCTGAGCCCTGGCCTCCTTGTTTCCATCCCCACCTCCCTTAGGAAGCCCTGGGCTTCCAAACCATTCAACTGGGCTCAGAGCAGGCTGAAGTGTTGGTGGTAGAACAGACGATGCATTCTAATGAAGACATCCCCATGACATGGCAGTACTACCTGTTACCTGATGGGTGAGCAAGTTTACTGGGTGGAAGGTGGAGGGTTATGGCTGATGGCCAGTAATGAGAGAGAGGGTCTGGTGGGGAATATGGATGTAAGGGGTGGAGGTGATGACTGAAAAGGTGTGAATGGTGCATATGGTTGTGGGTGGGTCAAGTCTCAGAATTTCAGGTTGGAAGGGATCTCAGAGATCAACAGACAGTGCCTAAAGTCTCTGCACCACTGACAAGTGATCATTCAGTTTTGGTCTTTACTTGAATACCTCCAATGACCAGGAACCTACCACTCCTAAGGAAACCCATTTCATTTCTAGGATATAGATTTAGAGTTGAAGGGACCTCAGAGGTCAGTTAATCTAGCTCCCTCATTTTACAGAAAGGGAAACAGGCCCAGAATGGCCACTCCCCTAAGTCTTCTCTTTTTCAGGCTTAAACATTCATATTTCTTGTTTTGTTTGTTTTTGCTAGGCAGTGGGGTTAAGTAACTTGCCCAGGGTCACATAGTTAGTAAGTGTCAAGTGTCTGAGGCCGGATTTGAACTCAGGTCCTCCTGACTCCAGGGCTGGTACTCTATCTGCTGTGCCACCTAGCTATCCCCCCTAGACCTTTTTCACATGAACTGTTACCTATTTTCCATGGTGGATACAGAAGTAAATGGGTTCAGATGATAAGTGAATTTGAGAGTCAGTGGGAGGTATGAATGATCTAGAGTCTGTTTGAGTAGTCTGACTCAGAGTGAGTAGTGAATAGATACTCCTAATGACCAGGCCAGGAGAGGAGAGGGAAGAATTGAATATTTTTCCCCTCTCCACACCCCACTTTTGCCATTCTTAGTGCCTCATACAAACCTTTTCCTTCTGCCTTAGGCACCTGGCCAAGAGAATCCAGGTGGGATCCCCCTTCTGCTGCATCATCACCAAGATGCCCATAATGAGGGAGGAGGGTAAGTAGGGGGGGCAAGTCAGGCAAGGGCATAATGGCCTGAAGCTTTTCTAAGCCAAAAATCAGGACGCAAGCATGGCTTGATAAAGGGTATTCCTTCTCCAAAGCCATGCTAAAAGCATATTTCTTGTTCTTGAATCTGGGACCATCCTAGATAGATTTATGGATCTGATGATGGAGGAGCTAGTTGGAAGAGGAAAGGTGGGGAAAACCTCCAGGGTCCTTCCAGAAAGGGATAGCATTTCCATTCATTCTGCAAGTGAATAGTATCTGAGACATCAGGTATCGTGGAAAGAAGAGGGAATTTTGAACCGGGCCTAGGTTTGAAACCTACTTTTCTCACTTACTAACCATAAGACCTTGGGACAGGTACATCCACTCCTGGACCTCAGTTTCATGATCTAATAACAATAATAGTATTTATATAGTACTCTAAGGTTTGCAAAGTGTTTTACATGTTATCTCATTTGACCCTCACCACAACAGCCTGGAAGGATACTGGAATGGTTTGCTATTTCCTTCTCCATCTCAGTTTACAGATGAGGAAATTGAGGCAAATAGGATTAAGTGACTTAGCCAGGGTCACACAGCAAGTGTCTGAGGGCAGATTTGAACTCAAGTCTTCCTGACACTAGCCCCAGCACTCTGTGCACTATGGCGCCACCTAGCCACCCCCTATTATTATCGCTATTAGTGAGGCAGCTGGAGTCAGGAAGACTCCAGTTCGGATATGGCCTCAGACACTTAGTAGCTGTGTGACCCTGGGTAAATCATTTAACCTCTCTGTGTCTTGGTTTTCCTCATCTGTAAAATGAGGGTAATAATAGCATTTAACTCACAGAGTTGTTGTAAACCTTATAGTGCTATGTAAATATTAACTATTCTTGGGGCAGCTAGATGGCACGATGGATAGGGCCCTGGAGTCAGGAGGACCTCAGTTCAAATCTGGCCTCAGACACTTGACACTTACTAGCTGTGTGACCCCGGGCAAGTCACTTAACCCCATTGCTTAGCCAAAAAAAATACTAGCTATTCTTGTCAACATCATTATTATTGTTATTTAGAATCCTATAATTTGTAAATAAGGAGTTTGTACTGGATAATCCCTAAGGTCTCTTCTAGCTTTAAATCTGATAGTCTTGGGGCTGCTTCTACCTGTGGGGACAGTACATAGAATATACTCAAAGACACCCTGAAGTCAAGGTCAAAACTTGATATATAATGAGTCTCGTACATCCCCTATTCCTGCTTCTTTCTGAGTCCCATCAGGCCATACAAACTTCAGAGGGGATGGGGAAAGCTGGAAGGAAATTTCCAACCTTCTAATCTTTGCCTTCTCCTCTCCACCTCTTCCTCCTTCCCTGCCCAGATGAGTTTGATCCCAAACCAGTGTTTGAAAAGAAACAACTGGAATGGGAAGAAGATGTTCAGCTCTTTGCCATTTTCCGGGACCGAAAGGTAAGAGAATCACAAGGTCGAGAGGAAAGATCCTGAGGAGGCCCCCAGAGAGAAGGCTAGATGGAGGACAGGGTCCAGGAAGTATGATTTCAAGAGCACTGACCCATGGTCAATGAGTCTATGAAAACATTTCATCCTCATCCCAAGAGTGGGTTTTTAAGTTGAGCGGGGAAGAGAGAGTAGAATCCAGAGGAAAGAGTTAAGCTCAGCAACAGCACTGGGCACACTTTTTCCCTTAGCACAGAAGGGAACTGAAGATAAACTTTGGAGACTTCTCACTTTGGCTCTGGATTTGAGTTTGGCTTCAGATCTAAGCTTTAACCACTTTACTGAGTGACCTTTGTCAAATCAGTACGTTTCTGGTGAGGCTCTTTTCCTCATCTCTAAAATGAGGTTGTACCAAAAGATTCCCAGGCTCTAAAATCCTCCATTCTTATGATCTCTGCCCAGGAAGAGCTCCAGGCCAGCCATACCACTTATATGCAGCATCACCCAGAGGCCCAGACCCTGATCTCTGATTTCTTACTCTTCCTGTTGCTCCGACAACCTTCTAATGTGGTAACCTTTGCTGCTGAGTATTTTGGTCCCTTTGCCCGGGGCCTGGACAAGCCACCCCCATTCCGATCCTCCAACCGGCCCAGTCCCTTCCGAAACCCTTGCTCTTTGTCTGTCCCATACAATCCGCTAGAGAAGATACCAGAGAAATCATCAGAGGAGAAGACTGAAGACTCTTCCTCATAGCCAAGGAGAATCAAGAGTCTGGACACAAGGAAGGTAGATTGATACCTCCAGGCAAAATACCCTGGGACCTGAAGGACTGATGGAGACCTGGGGCCTGGGAGCATAAGAAATGGGGGGGGGGGGACAGGGCAGGATTTGGCTGGCATTTCCTCTAACATCAGGCCTCACTAGGAAGCCTGAAAGAAGAATAAATAGGAGACCCTTTTGGCCTCTCCCTGACTTGTAATGCTCTGTGCCAAGTTTGTTGGGTCTTTGGCATGGGAAGCCAGTGGGAGGGGTGTGGGGTAGTGGAAAGAATACTGGTTTTGATGTCAGAGGAGCTAGTGTTTGAATCCTGACTCGGTCACTTACTACCTCAGACAAGACACGTAAACAAGTAGAGCTTGTACGGTTCCACTGCTGCATTTCTTAAGCCTACAGTAAGGCAGCATGTCACTGTATTAATTATCCAGCAAGGGAATGCAATGTCTGGGTCACCTCTCAGTTGGCACTCTACTTGAGACAGTAGTTTTAACTGTTTCTTGTGCTGCCCTGGGACAGCCTTCCTAAAAAGCTGAAATATCCCCACTGGCCACTAGAGGGTACTGATGATGAAGATACTTATACTGTTTCCCCTGCAGTCAATCCCCTCTCAGTTCACAATGCCTTACTCACAAATTCAAAGACTATGAGGCAGCTAGGGGGCACTTGGAGTTAGGAAGATCAGAGTTCAAATCCAACCTCAGACCTTCACTAACTATGCAACCTTAGGCAAATCACTTAATCTCTCTCAGCCTCAGTCTCCTCATCTATAAAATAGAAAAACTAATCATAGTACCTACCTCAAAGTCTTGTTGTGAGGATCAAATGTAAACATGTAAAGTGCTATGCAAACCTCAAAACAATGTATAAATGGGAGTTAGTGTTATTATTATTATCCTGATGTAGCTAGTTTATTGATTGTACAAGCACTCCTTTATGGAGACATCTCTCTCCAGCCAACTTCTGAACCTCCTTTAGGTCACCCACCCAGATCTTCAGATGTGGGGGAGGCAGAAGTGATGGTGGTAGAAATTTATGGCCTCATATAACTGCAGCTTGAGGAAAAGAATTGGAGGGGGCTTCTGCAACCCATCCCAGGATCGTAACATAAGAAAGACAAAATGAAGGAGATAATCAGAGAAATCAGTCTCCCCCTCCCTGTTCACTTGTCAGTCCAATTAGACTGAGAAAAGCCAATAATTGCAGCAACATCGGATTCTTTCTCCTTGAGGCTGTCACCTTCAGCCCTGCTCCAGGATCAGGGTCATTCACAGTTCTGGCTTCCCCCACCACTGCCCCCTCTACCTTGTGGAAACCCAGAAGTAATAATAATGATAATTAGAATTAACAGTGCCTGGTACCTAGTAGGCAAATAATAAATGTTCATTTGTTAACAATAGCAAGCAGTTATAGAGAGCTTTAAGGTTTGCAAAGCATTGCACATGTTAATCTCATCTGATATGTCTGAATATACAAGGGCAGAAAGAAGAAGCTAACTCTGGCTAGATAAGATCAAATTCCCCTCTTCTAACTGGGTGATTTTCCTGTCCCAGAGGGCCCTTGGAACAGAACAGTTTCACTGTGTCCCTTTTTCCATCCTAGAAAGGATCAACTATTAAGTGCCTACCATATGCCAGGCACTGTGCTAAGCCCTAAGGGTACAAAAAGAGGCAAAAGGCAGCCCCTCCCTTCAAGAAGCTTACAATCTAAAGGAAGCAGAGCAGTTTTGTTTCCAGGAGGGTATCTTATAAATTCTGTTCCATCTATCTCCTGTGGAGAGTTCCTGAGCTCTTGACCCACCTGTACTACCACCCCAAACCCCCCTCAAAGATAAAAAAGGCATTACCAAACACCTTTTATGATAGCAAAGGATTGGAATAAAAGATTCAGCCATTGAAAGGCTAAACAATGAATGTAACAGAAAATGACTGAGCTATAAGAGACAACAAATATGACAGAATAAAGATGGAACAATTTATGAGATCTGATACCAAGTGAAGTAAGCATAGTCAAGAAAATGATATACTGACAACTCTGGTGTAAACAGAAGGACCACAAAAGAATGAAAAAGTGAATGTTTCAGAATTACAAAGAACAAGGAAGAGATATGGAAGGACACCGTCGACTCACCCCCTTTGCAGAGATGGGAGGTTCACAGGTGTGGTGCATTACACATATTTAAAGATTTTTTTTGATGTATTCCTGTTTCCCTGTTTTTATTTTCCTTTAAAAAAATATTGTTTGTTATATGGACTAACTTTCTTGAAGAGGGAGGGAAAAGGAATAATGGTAGAAATTTGGGTGACATCAGGAAACAAAAGACATCAATAAAAATTTGTTTTAAGGCAATTTAGAGGAACTAGACACACACAAACACAAATATCCACATGTACTTCTACCTTGAGCCTCTTTTTTCCCCTTTCTCCATTCCATTTGGGAATGCACATGTACACACAACTGAAATCTTTTCTTATGCAAGTATCTTTGTATGTGTCACGTATGCCAGTATCTATCATATATCAGAATGAGTGGTACAAACTAAGTATTCCAGGAGGTCAGAGGAGGGCAGGACCACTTCTAGTGTGAGGTGGGTTTTTGGTCTTTCTTTTTGGTGGGAGGTAAGAAGAAGAATGAAGGGGGGCAGCTAAGTGGCACAGTGGATAGAGCACCGGCCCTGAAGTCAGGAGGACCTGAGTTCAAATCCAGCCTCAGACCAAACACTTGACACTTATTAACTGTGTGACTTGTCAAGTCACTTAACCCCAATTGCCTAAAAATAAAATAAATAAATAATTTTTAAAAAAAGATTGTTATAGCCTAGAGGTGGCTACAGCACCTTGACCTAAGGTCAAATCCAGGCCCAGACATTCACTAGCAAGTCACTTAAATCTTTCTTTGCTTCAGTGTCCTCATTTATAAAATGGGGATAATAATTGCACCTAACCCCTCTTCCCCCAGAATTTTTGTGAGGATAAAATGAGACAATATTTGTAAAGCATTTTGAAAACTTTAAAGCCCTATATAAATGCTAGCTATTATTTATTATTATTGACCCAGATCAAGTCTTCATTTCATAGTGCCCCCGAAAACTCTCTAAGACCATAAATTGGAAAAACAGTCATCTGAAAGGTGATTTTTAAAAGGTTAAATTAGTACTCGCTTTAAAAAAAAATCCTTTAAGATATGCATATGGGTACCTTACCTTAAATTCTTATTCAGTGATGCTCAGTTTAACTCTATAGTACCAAACCACCTTGACTCTCATCCAAGTTAGAAATCTTCCAGGCTATACACACTAATAAGAAACCTTGGCTCTTATCAGGTTGTTGTTGTGTAGTTGTGTCCAGCTCTTCATGACTGCATGGACCATAGCACACCGAGCCCTTCGGTCCTCCACTATCTCCTGAAGACTGTCCAAGCTCATGTTGGTTGTTTCCATGATACTATTTATCCATTTCATCCTCTGCTGTCCCTTTCTCCTTTTTGCTTTCAATCTTTCCCAATATGATGGTCTTTTCCAATGAGTCCTGCCTTCTCATTATGTGACCAAAATATTTAAGCTTCAGTATTTGACCTTCGAGTAAATAGTCTGAGTTATTTAAGTATCGATTAAATTGATCTCCCTGTTGTCCATGGGACTCTCAAAAGTCTTCTCTAGCACCACAATTTGAAAGTGTCAATTCTGTGATATTCAGCTTTCCTTGTAGTTCAGTTCTCAAAGCCATATATCACTACTGGAAACACCATAGCTTTGACTATACAGACCTTTGTTGACAAGGTTATGTTTCTGCTCTTATCAGGGCAAGTCCTCAATTTGCCTTGTACAGTATAATACCATAAATATCTTCTGTTGCACACAGATCACTGTCCTAGGTGCTGGGGAATATATAATGCAAACAATCGCGACAGGAGTTTACAATCCAATGAGGAATGACACCAATAGAGGGAGCTATAATGCATGATATTCCATTAAAAGGGTCCTCAGTGCTATAGTTGTTCTGCATGGAGTAGGATAAGTGAAGGGGGGTAGTGGGGACAGGACTGTCTTCCAAGTGGACAACTTAGAACTTTTAGAGTTACTCAACTCTGCCTTTTTTTTTCTTGTCGTTTTTCACTTCTGTCTGGGGTTGGGCTCCACTCCCATCCTTTTTGAAACATTTTCTAGATCCAGTTGACTAAAGTTAACACTTATCAGAGTTGTGATAAAAACAAAAAAATGCTTTTAATTCCTAGCATGCCCCTGATCCAGGTAAATAATTTCTAGCTCTACTTAGTTCAACTGCAAAGGAGCTGGTTAAACTTTCGCGAGGAGACTCTTCCCAACTGTGTCATGGGTGGCCCATACTTGTCCCATGCAAATCACTGGGGCTGGTCTGCATGCAACAGGACTGGTGACCTTTGCTCTATTTCCTTGTCTTTGTTTTGCATTCAAGACAGGAACAAAATCGATGCTTTCTGAACAAGTATATTAGAGAATCCCTGGTGAGATCTGAGGAGGGCACAAGGGAATCAGGTTACAGCTCCTTAAGGGACTGGCATTTGAGTTGGGTTGTATAAGTTGGTAGGAAATCAGAAGGTAAAGAGGAGAGAGGACCAGGGGGAATAATAAAAACATGAGCAAAATGAAGTGAAAGCAAATGCATTTGTAAAATGCTAAAGCATTTTGGCAAACACAATGCTTGCCAAAGCCCTCTCTTAGCAAGACCAGTAGTCTAGTTTGGCATAAGATAAAATAAGCCTAGGAAGATAGGAAGGCATCAGATCGGAGGACCTTGAATGCTAGGTAAAGGAATTTGATCTTTACTGTCATTGCAATGAGCCACTGAATATTTTTTAGTAGAGGCTGACACCAGAGTATGAAAGATGAATTAAAGGCAAGTGAGAACTCTGTAGAAGATATTTAAAGTAGCTAGCATTTATATAACACCTTATTAATGTTATCTCATTTGATCCTCACAATGACACTGTGAGGTAGGTGTTATTATCCCCATTTTACAGATGAAAAAATGAGGCTGGGAGAGGTTGTGACTTGCCCCAGATCACATAGCTCATGTCTGATGAAGGATTTTGAACTGAGAACCTTCAAGAGTCCAGTGCTCTATCCACTGTGGTACTCGGCCACCTAATAAGATAGGCAGGTGGGAATGGAGGTCTTTGCTGCAGTAGTGGCAACAAAAATAAAGAGGAAAGATGTAGATGTTTTCAAGTTTAATAGATAGGACATGGTAATGATGAGGTTGGGATCTGGACCCCAGAAAGGAAAAACCCTGGACTTTCCCACACGACCAAATCTCTGGCATTTGCCTGAGGCCATAATCCCATCAACTGGCCTTTCATTGTGGCCATTCTCCCTTGACCACGTGGTCCAGGTCCCAGGAGTTCTGCTCACTCCAGCTTACTGGCCACTCCCATCCAGATCCTCCTTAGACCCCTCCTCCAGTCACTCCAAACTATTTGGCCACTCCTAGATCCCTCCCAAAGTCTTTCTGTATGTAAAGTCCATCTTGTCATCATTAAGGTGCTCAGATTCCTAAAATCTAGCCACTGCTCAGATTCTTATAATCTAGCCATGGCGC